AGCTGTTCCGGAAGCACAAGCTGGTCTGTACTGGTCCTGTTTGGATTGCAGGCCACTCCTCTCAACAAATGCAGAATTGCTAACTCATCAACACTGCAAATGGCAATGATAACAAAACCGACCAGCTTACCTCCCCAGTTTTTACAGACAATGGTTCCAAACCATCCAAAGCCAAGTGGTGAGCTAGGATGACTTCAGTGCCCATGGTTCTCGACTGTGTTTATCTCATGTACGATCTACCCGCTCTAGCTAACAAAATTGGGAACTTTTCTGAAATGACCAGCAGATAGATCGGTCCGTGCATGTGTGGCTTTGTTCCAAGGCCATGCTATTCCTTCCAGCACCTGCAAAATTAGTGTCATGAAACCAAAAGCCGTAATTGAGTCGGCACGCGCGTGCATTTGGTTGTGCGTAGCAAATGTGAGCCCGTCTCTCAGAGAGAGTTTCTCAGGAGCATCTACAGCTTCAACTGCAGTGCCCCGCATTTACATGCTGCGAACGCTTATCAAAGCTCCCTACTGGTTGCTTTGTGCAGGATCGCTCCAGCTGTCAGTTTGGGGAGCTGTTCCGGAAGCACAAGCTGGTCTGTACTGGTCCTGTTTGGATTGCAGGCCATGTTGCTCTTCTCAACAAATGCAGAACTGTTAACTCATCAAAACTACAAGTGACCATGATATCATCGAAACCGACCTACATGCACTGTGAGCTTACCTCTCCGGAATTTACAGACAATGGTTCCAAACATCCAAAGCCAAGTGAGCTAGGATGACTGCAGCGCCCATGGCTCTAGACTCTGGAAAGCGGTAATTGAGTCAGCACGCACATGCAGTCGGTTGCGTGCAGCAAGTGTGAACCCGCCTCTCAGAGAGAGAGAGAGAGAGAGTTTCTCAGGAGCATCACCAGCTTCAAGTGCAGTGCCCCTCGTTCGATTTACATGCTGCGAACGCTTATCAAAGCTCCCTACTGGATGCTTTCTGCAAGATCTACCTGCTCTAAATGTCAAATTTGGCATTACGTTGGAAAAGAATGCGTGATGTCCATGTTTGCAGACGAATGTTTTTTGCAAGATTTGCCCGCTCTAGCTGCCAAAATATCCAAATGTGGGAACTTCATAGGTCACAAGCCTGTCTGCAATATGATGAAAGGAATTCCAGGCCACGTAAGTCCTTTCAGTGCGTGCCAAATCCTTGTCATCAAACCGACACTGCTACCTGAACTAATCTGCATATAGATGCATGCGAGCTTGACTCCGGGCTTTCCATTGAAAATTGTTTGAAACGATCCAAAGCAAACTGATGAACTAGGAAGAATGCAGTGCCCGGGGCAGACTCTATGCACATTTTTCTCAAGAACTCCAAATTCTCCAAATGGATTTGTCATGAAAATTTCGACCCGCTCAAGCTCTCCAAATTGGGAACTTTTGGGAAGTAACAGGCAGGCAGCAGGCCGGTCCATATTTGTCTGGCTTGGTTTGCTGGCCACATTACTCCTTCCAGCACCTGCAAAACTGCTGCCTCACAAACAAAATGGTTGTTGAGTCTGCACGTGCATTGATTCGGCTGTGCGCAGGGATTGTGAAGCGGCTTCTCAAAGAAACTGCCTCAGGAGCATCTAGCAACTTCAACCGTCATGCCCGTGGTTCGATTTACATGCTGCCAGCACTTATCAAAGCTCCCAACTGATTCGCTTCTGCAGGATCGCTCCAGCTGTCAGTTTGGGGAGCTGTTCCGGAAGCACAAGCTGGTCTTTACTGGTCCTGTTTGGATTGCAGGCCATGTTGCTCCTCTCAACAAATGCAGAATTGCTATCTCATCAAAATTACAAGTCACAATGCTATCTAAACCTACCTACATGTAGCATGTGAGCTTGACCCCCGGCTTTCCTGAGAAAATGGTTTTGTTCCATCCAAAGCCAAGCGATGAGCTAGGATGACTGCAGCGCCTTCCGAACATTCTTTCTGCGAAACGGACACTGTTCTCTGCGTTAGATTATACGTACATGGTTCATATTCTGCTATGTGTGAACGCCGTCTTTTGAAAAAATGGCAAGGTGATGTACAACCGAAGTAGTTTCCTTCTGGACCCACCTGCTCCAGCTATCAGCCTTGGGGACCGTTCAGCAGTCACCGGCCGGTTCGTACTACGACCGGGAGTTACAGCCCCTGTCTAATTTGGTTGTCTCACTTTGAAGCCAACATCGAAAAAAGAGGCGAAAGGCAGCTTCTGATGCAGCCGGAAGGTCTGCGAGCCAAAACAGCCCTCCAATGGCCACATCTTCGTCGAGCGAAAAAACGAAACTTGATCAAATGGCCTGGGCTTTCAATAGCCACTGTGCACGGGGATCACTGGGGCACTTTGATTTTATACATTTCCAAGATCTGATTTCCTCATAGACATTTCGCTCAAGCGTACTGGGCGTCTGCTCAGCAGCGAGAAGCCAGCAGCACTCAGGCATTTTATAACTTCTGAGTCTGGGCTTTCACAAGTTTCAGCTTCGAAAACCTCTTGACCCCAAGAGATGCCAAGAATGCTTTGAAACTTCTCCGGCAGGAACTTTCATGCATTTTGCCAATCCTGGACTTGCATGCTGAACCTGCACAGATTCAATCATCCTAACTGAGGGGCCAGGAAGCAAAAGTTAGTTCTCAAACGGGGAGAGGTCAAGACCCCTTGAAAACCACAGATTTAGGCGTTTTTTGTATCAACATTTTCAACCATCAAGATCAGATTTCAAGCAACGGACATGGTCAACCGCTCCGGGCATCTGCTCAGAGCCCGACACGAGGCGCATCGCTCATTTCACAACTCTTGGGGTTTGGCCCTACAAGACGCCAACAATCTTTTGACACGACATTTCAAGGAACTTTCACGCAGTCCGCAGTTCGCGGGCATGGTGCATGCTGCACAAAGGTGCAGATCGGTTGTTTCAATTCAGATCTACCAGCTTTTGGGTTCAAGGTGTGGCAGAGTCACACATTCACGAAATGGTTTGCCACTCCACTCAAAGAAGTCAGGTCGCAAATTGCTCATGGCCAGCTATGACTTTGGCTTGCCTCTACCGAAGCGAGATACATCTCACAGTCATCGCTCACGCTGCTGTTGCTGTGAGCGATGGCGGTAGTTCCAATCGCTGGACCAAAATGTGGGTCAAAGCGAGCCTCCAGGGTCCATCAGCAACCCGCCCATGGCTACATGGTTTTGCTCATTCCAGCAACATAGGGAGCAGGAAAAACGTTTGATGCGGGATTCCACAGATTCTCCGCAACATGAATGTGTTAAAAGAAAATGTTTAAATGCAATTGGTGTTGAAACCCTGTACCCACCATAATCCCCGAAAATTCTAATGATGGTTGTTCGTCTGCACTGCTAGGAACTCGCTAGCGGTTACAATTTGAAATTTGTTGGAGTCGCTGTCCATAAGTAAACACCCCTTCCTAACTCAAAAGAAGATATGTACACACACTCCGCCCAAACCGTGCAACACAGCTACTGGTCCGTGCTGAGAGCTGAAAATGGCTTTTATTTTCCGCTGTTCGATCTCCATGCTACAGAACACAATCCATGTATTGATCTGTGTGTTCATCTATGATTTAAATATCTATCAATCGAATCTGATCTGATCTGATCCACTCTACTCACCTGCCATAACTCGTCCAATCTACCTATCTATCTGTCTGTCTGACTGTCTGTCTGACGGTCTGTATGCCTGGCTGTCTGTCTGTCCGTCTATCTATCAATGTTATTCCTATGCCCATTCCTGTTCTTCCAGTCACTTCTATTCTATTCTGTTCCATTCCTTTTTATTCTACTCTATTCTATTCTATTCTACTGCTACTCTATTCTAGTCTATTTGTCTATTCTATTCTGGTCCATTCTGTTCTGTTCTGTTCTCTTCTATTCTATTTTGCGGTATTGTACTCCATTCTATTCTTTTCTGTTCTGTTCTATCTATCTATTTATCTATCTATTTATCCATCTATCTATGATGTCCTGTGCTATCCTATGCTATCCTATGCTATCCTATGCTACCCTATGCTATCCTATCTATTCTATTCTATCTATTCTATCTATTCTATCTATTCTATCTATTCGATCTATTCTATCTCTTATATCTGTTCTATCTGCTGGTTTTCTTCTATTTATCATTTATCAGATGTTATCATTTTCTGTTCTGTTCTTTCCTTCTAGTCTATTCTATCTATACAAAATCCCTGGTGATGATGGTTATGATTATTCTTATTGATAAGATAGAGGCGATGAATGAACGAGTGTGATGATCATGATGAAGAAGAAGATGATGGTGATGGTGATGAAATTGAAGATGAAGCCGAAGATGCAGATGGGGATGAAGTTCCTTTTCTTTTCGTTCTTGTCTTTCTTTTCTTTCTTTTCTTTCTTGCTTTCTTTCTTTCTTTCTTTCTCGCTCTCTCTCTCTCCTATTTCTCTTCCATGTCTCTTGCTCGATCCATACAGATCAAGAGGCGTGTCTCCAACGCGATCAACAGAATGCAGTGCAGCTGCAGCCCTTGGAAGCAATGACCCGCTGACTGCACCTTTTTAGCGCTGGCCCAAGATTTCGAAGATGACTTCAACAATTCGGACAGAGCAAAAATCGGTAAATCCTTCTGATTACCCATAGGTATACTTAAGTTTATCTCATGCAAACGGTGATAATTCCAGCATGTTTCGATTCCAATCTCGGGACATCTCCGCATCTGCAACAGGGCTGCCGTACACTTGCGATGAGCTCTGCCTAGGGCCTAGTCTCAGACTTCCGTGCAATGGCAATTCGCAGCCCTCAGAGCGAAGAGACATTATCAGCAAATCCGAATGGCTGCTGGGAGCGATGGCGCCTGCACCCAGGGCTCCCACCAGCCTTGTGAATAGCATGGTTTCTGAGACTATAATAGTCCTATAGGATCTTGAAGAACATGACATAGTTGTGCTGCAGAATCCTGGTATAGCTTCTGTTCACTCTACAAGGCTAATGAATGCTATGAAGCCATTCTGGTTTCCCCGCGCTTCCGATGACTTTCGATTGATTTCGCACGATTTCGCATGTGGAACTACCGGCATCGGGCAAGAGCAACCACGATGCCACCTACGATCGCTGAACTCACTGCAACGAGTACTAGCCTCGTGTGGTCCTGGGATGAAACATGACTCGGCTAGCAAAAATTACTGGAATACAGCTGTTCAAATCTGTAGGTTGTTCGCATCAAGACTGTTACTGTTGAATGTTCGAACTGAAGAATATATCCCTTGAGCCTGTGCAATATGATCACACCGCCACTTTTGGGGGCCCATTGGGCCAGGCCCATGGACGACTCCAATGGTCTGCTGAGCTGACCGAGCGACATTCCCAGGCCCAGACGCAGGTGACCCAGGTGGCACGATTGGACTAGGAGGCCTTGCAACCTGCGTCGAAATTCGATCGGCATTGAGCGCAAGGGCGATGTTTTATCCAAGTTAAACTACTAACGACAGTAAAAATGTAAACAAGCTGTGCAAAGTTATGCAACATGTGGGCATTAATATTCACTAACAAGTAAGGGAAGCTGTACACATGAAGCATGCACCAAAAGTCTGACATGAACCGAAATGACTGCACACGTCACAGCCACGCACTCGACAAACCACAACAAAAACATGGATGTCAATGTTATTCAATGTTCAATGTCCTTCAATATTATTCATCACTAAATGTCATTCAATGTTCCCCGGCTGAAAATATGGCGGTAACTTGAAAAAACCATCAGCGGCCTGTGTCAATGCAGGTGCTGCACCATCCTCGTCATCTTCATCTGCCATGAGTTGCCGCCACCAGTCCTGGCTGCTGAGCGATCACACGATCGAGCGATAGTATCATCATATAGACATATTGCTGATATATGCTGACCATGTTTGACCATACTTATAAGACTATATACATACGATTACATACGATATACTGCACTGCATAATTCCAGATCATCATATTCATATCTTATCATATTTTACATCTATAATATACATTTCAAACACGTATCCCCGTATGACATGCGCCCTTTCCATGCAGAAGTTGTAGGCACTCCCACCACGTCACCAACGTCCAAGTCTCCATGGTCTTCTCAGTCTGTGCAATGGACATCAGCGGCTTCATGCAGGAGCTCAGCGACCAAAAGAGATCTGGATGCTCAAACTCCTCTGCTCTCACTAAGTGAGTTTGATTGGTTAAACCATCCCCTGAATTTGTTGTTTTTTGTTGGTTTTGTTTGTGTTTTTATGTTTGTTTGATTAATGATCACAATCATTGGTGGGGACTTCACGCGTAGCTGGTTGTCTCTACCGCTGTCACACGGCATTAAAGTCAAAGGCGGAAAAAATCCATTGTTTTTGAAAGAGATCCAAAAACATTAAACAAAACAAAGCCCTCTTTTAACAACCAATCGAAAATGAAAACAACCAATCGAAGTTGACCAAAACAAGCCATCAAATTCAATTGAAACATCTTTTGCCTAAAACAATACACCCAAACCACCACAAACGCAGATCGCATGTCCACAACACGATTACAGCATACTGCAACATCTACAACCGGACTCCTGCTGGGAGAGCATGATCTTGATTCCTCAGCTCACCAGGAAGTGTGACATTCAACCACACCTTCCGAAGGAGGGTGTGATCATTGCGCATTGTATGCTTTCAAGAAGGCATTCTTATCATTTCTTATCATTCTTAAAGAAATCATTCTTCCTCAGCTTTCTCTTACTAACTTCACAAGCCGATGCTTTAAATCTCGGGTCTCAGGTTGAAAGAATGTGTGTCAGAGTTATTCTGCCGTTTATCACTGAAAGGTGCCAGTATACTATGTATATCAGTAATTACTAGTACTTATACAATATACAAGTACAGGTCTTGTGTTGATCTGTGGTTTTTGGCAGGCAAAGCGGCGGTGACGTTCTTTGGGTGCAGCGAAGCATGCAGGGCAGTTGTCGGCAATCACCGGAAGCCTTTGGAAGAGCTGATGCGCAACCGTCAAAGATCGACAAAGATATTGAAAGTCAGAGTTTACACCTCCTATCTCCCATCTAAATTTCAACAGATCTCATTCACCCGTCCTCACACATGGGGGTGTCTGAAAATGGGTATACCCCCAATTTATAGCCCTTTTCATGGCGATTAACACTGATTAATTAACCATAAACCTCGTGCCTGTTCTCCTTGGCGAAGTTGGCCAGAGTCTTTTCTCGGACATTGACCAGTGGTCGACACACTCGTAAATCCTTCGCTGCTACAGCATAGTTGGCCTGCAAAAGCATCGACTGGAAGACGGCCTTCCAGCCATCCACTTTAATAGAAAATGACGCCAACCTCATCAAAATTGAATGCGCAATTCAATGAACACATATGCCAACATCACATAACATCACGTAACATCACATATCAGCTGTTCAACTGGTTCAATGCCGCTGTCGAATCTGTGCCTTCATGGTCCGCAGAGATCCATTTCGAAACGCAGACATCAAAAAGGATTCGGCAAAGTCGTCCAAATGCCTCGGCCCATGGGATCACAGGCATCTCAAATTGTGACAGTTACCACAGTTACCACAGTTACCACAGTTTTTCCATCTGACATATTTTGCCATGGCAAGCCATGCTGTCAAGCCATGTCCAAAGGAGCCAAAGCACTGTCCCAGGCAAAGGACCTGAAGTGACTCACGGATCGGCGCACCGTTGGCGGTCGTGGCAGCACTGTTTTTGTCTTTTGATGTCTTTTGATGTCTTTTGATCTTTTGATTCTGTGGGATTATGTTGGGGTTACGTGGGATTGCAATTGATCAGTGTTTCCGCAGCACCATCTTTTGGAAGCAACAGCTGTCATAGCACACTCTTGGATCAGCCTCCACAGCTTCAACATGTTTTAACCCGTCAAGTCACGTTGTAAGCATTCTCCCGCATGCAGGTGTACCTGCAAAAGCTAGGGAATACAGATACGTTAAAAGGTCAGGAACACAATGATAGACTTGTATATCTTATATCAGTCTTTTAACCTTGAACTCTGCAAAATATTTCATGACATGCTCAGATTTGGTGGAGCCGAAGCATTCTGGCTATCTAGAGTAAATACACTAAGCCCCGTGATCCTATGAACAAATTTAGCGAGGCAATACTGTATCTCCTGTGAAAGAAACTGGCTGAGGTAAAGCAAAACGTGGGGAGACAAATTTTGTGTGGCGTTCTTTGCTAAATTGAGATGTTTAAATCACCACCAACCTTTCCGAAATTCTGCTCGGGCTCCTAGTTGTCTCATGAAGCACACCTTGATGCCACCTATGCGAACTTGGAATGTGCCTGGAGTGTCATGCTATGTCGATGTCGCACGAAGTTTAATCTGAACCCTTGGCATTTTCGCATTCTGTACAGATCTCCCTATGAAGTTTCTTGGTCAAGTTGCAACATTCCTCGCTTCATCCTTGCACAAAACGAACCTCAGATGCAAAACTCCAAGAAATGCGGAGAACATGTGTTGCACGTACCTCGTGCAACCCCAGATGGATGATTATGGATGTAGGGAACAAACATGAACAAACTCTCCAACGTACTCCCAGTCAATTGCAGTTCATGTCGCTTCAAGAGCACAACTTGGCAGCTGAAGCTGAGTGGCAAATCGACGGCTTCTTGGGATCCAGGTGACACTTTGCCATCTCGATGAGAGGCTTTGAGAGAAAATGGTATGTTACTCCCAAGGCCTTCAGGTAATCCTCAGACTGGCAGCTGGGTAATTCGGACTTCGGACGGCTACTGCTTAGAAACCATGGACTATTGTTTTGCCATGTTTTGCCTTTGTGAACTGAGCGTGAACACAAAGAATTTGTTCTCACAATGTATCGTTAAGCACTATTTCACCATGCAGACCGAGCAGAGTGTAGGACTGACCATGAAACACCATGAAATGCAACTTGATTACGTGAGATAATGGTCCATTTCGACACTGGCTAGAAGTTGGGATGGCATGACATGGAAACCGCAAAGTCCATCATACTGCAAAAGGCATCAAACTACATCATACTGTGGCAAAATCAGTTGAATCCAATTGAGCTCACTTGCACCTTGCAGCGCGCCAAGTATCGATCAGTGGCTCGGGAGCAAACTCTGGCGTCTCAGGGTTCACAGTCGCAGCAGCCACAGTGAACTTCACAGGAGACCGGCGTTGCAACTCCAGCAGCACATGAAGCAAGGTCAAACTGTCCTGCAGCGATATCAAGTGGCTGCGGCGTTTTAAGTTCCATCTCCGCACGCACGCAACATGCATCACGGAGACATCCGACATGATCAAAAACTGTCATGACATCATCAAGGTGTTGCACAATGTTGCACAATGTGAGAAAATGAGAAGTGCCAGTGACGGTGCTTTGCACTTTTCGCTCCTTCCCACCAGAGAGGCCCACCAGCAGCCTGTCACCCTCGCGGATCATGTCATACCTTGGGCGCAATGGAGGGCCTGGAGATTAGATCGAACAGAAGGCCACAAAATTCCTCTCTACCAATGAGTTTGATCTCTGCTGTCTTGCAAGGATTTTCGAAGGTACGGGGGATCTATGCCTGTATGCACATTTGACATGTTTTTGACACATTAGATGGACATGGAAATTGTTATTGAATCACAAATGACTAAACACACACACACATATATATATATGATTATATATGTATATTTTTGTATATAATATATATATATATGTGTGTGTGTCATATATATAATACAAAACATTGCCGCAGCGATAACTATATCGTGCCTGTAAGTGTTGTAGATAGAGAGAATTCAAATCAATGATAATAGTAAGTCTCAAAAACTTTTGCAAATGGTATAAGCGGTATAAACTTTGTATAAACTGGACGAAGCAGGATGGTAGCGCCAAGATTCTCTTTGATGGCACCAGCCACTTGGCTCCGCAGTGATTTTGGCACCTTTGGTGCCAAGGCAGTGGCGGCGTAGGTGGGTTTCTCACCTTGACATCCACGAGGCGAAACGATAAAAAACAAGATGCAGCCCACAAACCCGAATGCTCACATGTATGTTAATGGTACAGATGTCAAAACACACAGAGAGGTAAACCTCATAGATGTGGCAACCCGTGGTTGCAGCCCATTTTGTATTTTCCGCAGGGCATGATTGTGTGATGAGGATGGTGCCTGTAAAGTGTAAGGTGTGGAGTGTAAAGTGTACAGTGTAAAGTGTAAAGTGCGAAGTGTAAAAATGTAGAGCGTGGAGTGTCAAGTGTAACGTGTAAAGTGTAGTTTAGAGTGTGGAGTGTCAAGTGAAATATGTAGAGTGTGGAGTGTAAAGTGCGGAGTGTGAACTGTAAATGTAGAAAGTGGAGTGCCAAGTGTAAAGTGTGAAGTGTAAAGTGTGACGTGTAAAGACGTGCAGTGTAAAGTGTAGAGTGTAGAGAGTGGAGTGCGGAGTATAAAGTGTAGAGTGTGGAGCGTAAAGTGTAAGGATTAAATTGCGGAGTGTGGAGTATAGTTGTTAATCCCCGGAAGACCGGGCCGGGCCCCGTCTAAAAAAAGGCAAGTGCTGGCTCCAAAAGCAGCACCTCAGTTTTTCTGAGGTTCAGCCTCAGCTGCGCCAAATGCCGAAGTCAGCGGCGACTTGCTGCTGTTTCTCCTCCTCGTCCGAGCTGAGGATCCAGATGGATTGTTCAACTTCGACCTAGACCTCCACTTGTTCCTCGGGCTCGGGGTCTTCTGGCGCTCCGCTTTCCAGAGGGGTGTCTTCTGCCACGTTCCCGTTGCTTCAGCTTCAGGGGTTTCTTCTTCGCTTTCAGTGTCAGGGGCCTGCCAGTGGTCTGAGCGTGGCTCGACGACTACTACTTTTAGCGCTGTTTCTCCGCGGGCCGGCGGCAACCACCTAGGTGGTCACCCTGACTTCCTGGTCGTCTTGAAAGGTGACCATCAGTTGGACGGAGTTGTGCAGGAGAACCGCCATGGCCTCCGGTGTGAAACAAGAAGCGAGGTCCCACTAGACTTGTGGGCCCCGAACCGTGTTCAACAGAAGGTGTGGTGACGGAGTGGTCTGCACGTCGTGTCCACACCCGGCACCGGACGGACCTGCCGTCGGCTTCCCAGCTTCCAACCTGTGCTATATGCAATCTCGTCAGAAAGTCTGTCTCCACAAAAATTTGATTATTCCAGCATTGCAGGAAGTGGGGACCATTCCGCCACCTTGAGCCTCAGCGCAGTGAAGCTGATCTGCTGGCAAAAAAATCAGTTGCAGCCTCAGAGCGACCTCTTGCATGGAAGGCCCTGGGCAGCTACTTTGCCGCGCCTGTCACACAGAACAAGTTTCGACACGTTGTGAAACATGTTAGACTGTAAGTCATACTGGGTGGGCTCGGGCTCCAGAAGCACCTCCTCAGCAGAGCAACTTTTTGAAGCTGTCACTATCATGTCGATGTGGAATCCTGCGACCGTTAGAAGTCATCAGTTTTGCCTTCGCAATCGCATGTTCACTAAAAAGCGAAAATTGAAAGGGAAAGGCAATGTGCTGCCAAGAAGCTACCATCTCCTCGGATAATTTACCAGCACCCTTCCCCCAACTCATTGGATCTGCTGGCGGCTCTCCGCTGGCAACATCTGCTGGCAGCCATGCAGGCACATTGGACCCGTCAGATCCAGGAAGCCAAATCCAAGCCTGAATCCACATTCCTGTGGTGGATGGAGTGGACGACACCCCAGCGGGGATGGCATTTGTTTGGCTTTGGGCTTTGCCGCAGCAGCTCCGCTGATACGCATGCCTTCCCCCTTTGCAGGCGTAGCCCCTTTTGCTGTTGGGAGGAGGCCTCTGTCTCGAGCTTCCATTTCCTTCCCGCCTCCTTTGCCTTTGTCCAAAGGGAAAGTTCCCTTGGGCCCAGCCAGCACCCTTCGGCTCACCCTCCGGCTCAGGAACCGGAAAGCCTTTGCCTCCACCCTTTGGTTCGGGGATTGGGTAGCGTTTGGGGCTACCCTTTGGGTGCCTTTCGGCCCCCCTATGCCTGCCAAACGAAACAAGGTTCCGCGACGTTTGAAACCTCCAAAAGTAACCACTTTTGGAGCAATCCCCATCGGCACGGCCATAGGGCCCTCATGTGAATGGTTGCGGACGGTTGCGGACGGTTGCGAACGGTTGCGCAACGTCTTGCGAACACAGCCTCAACCCCCAACCCCCAGAGCGAAACGGGAACCCTTGCTACGCAGTCAGGAAAAGGGGCAAACGGGCAAAGGAAATCACCTGAGTGAGTGGAAATCAAAAAACAAAGCTATTGCTGAACGCCTGCAGTGAATGCCTTCAGCGAGTCTCGATGACATGTTCAAGCATTACTACGCGTGATTCTTGCACTAAAATTCGCAGCCGGAAGCTCTATACAGAGTACACTTGCTGTTCAAGTCTTTGTTATCCAAAGCGGAGCTGATTGTTTTTAATCTGCTGGCATAACACGCTGACCCAAAACAGGAGCAACGACAGTAATTAACCTGGATTTTACGAGGCCTTAAGCAGCTCTGCCTGATAGTTCAATAGTTCACTAGCAAGCTATGCTGAGGAAAAAAAGTTTAGAAGGAGCAATCTGCGCAGGAAAATAAAGGACACGTTCTGGCGGATTGTGCATCTTTGTGCCAAGATTCATTTTGCCTCAGCATCAAAGTTATCTTCTCCCTGGCAGGTTGTTCTTTTGGTTCGCTGTCTGAATCTACGACAATGGAAGACTCAATGGGCATCGGATCAAACAGGTTTATCAAACAGGTTTATCAAACATGTTGAAGCGTTGTCCGAAGCCAAACCACCCTTGACCTTCTCTGGGGACCCACACAATTCAGATTGAAATGGCATAATATGCAAATCGAGCCACAAGACCCTTTGCTTTCTACGAAAAGTGACATGACATACTCCACATATATCCACATATATATTTTTTAAACCTAATATTTACATCTTCCATGAGTTCCGTGAGTTGAAAATAGTTGCAGTTGCTGAGTCATGACATCTTCGTCGATGCCTCGGTGTCGATTTTCGACACCTCGCCTCCTCGCAGCCAAACTCGAAGGGCACAATCTCTGCATCGGTCGCTGTGGCCGCTGTCTCTGCCGCTATCGTGAGGCTCTTGCCTTACATCGACAGATCGTGTGTCGCAATAAAGATCCAAAAAGGTCCAAAAAGTCTAGAAGATGCGCTGCAGAATACACATGAATACACTATATAAAGACTATGTATACAATCTTTTGAGAGATCGTCTACTGGTAACACTCTCTGTGATAAAAGGCCACCGTCAATGCAACCATGCTGAAGTCTTGCCGCCCATGATTTCTCCATGCTTTCCTGTCAATTTTCCAAGTCTATGCAAAGATTTTGATTTTTTTCTGCAAGAAGCTTCGATCCAGCTGCCATCTTTGACCGCCCTTTTGCGGTTTGTCAACCATTTCGAAGCTTGTTCAAATGGCAGTCTTCAACGATAAATATGATAAATGAGTCATCATGAGTCATCCAGTGCTGTCGTGTACTTTGCACAACGCAATTCCTGCTGAGCCCACGATGCCACGATCACGGCGATCACTGGCGATCACTCATATGATTTGACCACAGACCCCAGCGTCTCAAAAGCCTCTGCAAAGACGTCTGCACCGAATCCGAAATTCTCGTACCTGTCGACTGTCTGCATATGGCTGCATTGTTAAAGCATGCGTACATCAATGCCATGCTGGCAATGGCGGTGGATGGCTTAAGATGGCCAAAAAATTGCCAAAGAGCAATGATGCAAAAAAATGCAGACAAATACAGAGCACCAGCCAGCAAGCAGCGAGGTAGATGGCTCGGATGTAGGGGTATGAAGCAAAACCAGGCAAGGGCAAAGCTCGAAAACAGAACATGAACAAATGTAGACAAAAAAAAGTTATGAAACAAGACATGCAGAAAGATGCGCTAAGCTCTTGAGTTCTGCCAAGATACCAGTGCAAGAACATCCTTGAGGCGTACTTCTGTTGCGCTTGATGATAAACGTCACGGAACACCTTGGTGATCCTCCTCCAATTCATTACAATGCTCACTCTTGATGAAGGACTCGTCTTCAAAGGTTGGGGAGATGTTTGCAAATCAATCGGTGCACTTTTTATAGGCATTGCCCCTCCAAGACGTTCCAGCAGTTCCAGCTTCAATTGCTGTGAGACTTCCAACACTCCGCGCACAACACATCTGGCTGAGAACAGATTTTGCGAATTGCGTGGACTTCGCGGCAGTCGCCGCAATGAATCCATGATCAATTTCGTGGTCGTCTCAGACTCATAGTTAAAACGTTGTCGTAATCCAGCACTAAAGATCTGTGCGAATTTGTGACTTGGTAAGGGTGAAATTGTTTGGAGAAGTTCGCCGAAATCGCAGATCTGTTCAGGGCAAAGATGTGGGATAAGGTCTCTTGCCTCGCCATCAAATCTAGGCAAAGCTGAGCAAAGCTGCATGTCCAAAACTTTCAGGCGGTTTTTTTTTGTGGCATTTGAACATTTTGAAAAACTGAATGAACACCTCCAAACATTGCTCCTGAAAGAGAGTCCTCCGAAGGAAGTTACGACTGATCTGCGCGAGCTAAGTATTTGCGGACAGAGTAGGTCAATGAAACCGTACAAGCATAGAATCATAGAAACACATGGACAACATTTTGCTAAGCAAATCATAGCATGCTATTATGCTGTTCATCGATGCCAGCGAGGTTGTTTCATGTTGCGCATCAGCTGATTCTGCTTCTGCGAGGGCCATCAATGCGTCGTTTTCATAGAGCACAACACCATCTGCCAGATCTTGTAGCCACGATAAAGCAAGGACCACGTTGTAACACTGCATGGGATTTTCCCCGCTGGAGATGGGAAGAACCGGAGCTACCTCATGATGAAATCATGATGAAATCAACACAATCATTCCGTGTGCGCAAACATGTGATGAATAATATGAATACAAAGCTAAAATGAGGTGATTCTGAATTCAAGGTGTATATGCAAATATATGCAATGTGCACGACAAGGCAAAGTTGCTAGCAACGGAATCTTGGGGTACAAGTCTCGAACCTCTTCAAGAAGCCGTGACCCAAGGCCGCTTCCAGTTCCACCGCCCAAAGAATAAGTCATCAGTGTTCCTGAGACTTTGAAACGAAAAGTCTGTTCCGGATCTGCAGCACATATAGCATATCAAGGGCTAACTGTAGAATTCAGGATGCAAATGACAGCGCCGGTCGACATTTCATGGTGCTTAATGGTTCTGAATGGTTCTTAAGGGTGCTTAATGCCGATGTCAATTTTTTGTCAATGTCAATTTCCTATGAGAAAACGGTGGTGCTTAATGGTTCTTAATGGTTCTTAATGGTGCTTAATGGTTCTTAATGGTTCTTAATGGTGCTTAATGGTGCTTAATGGTTCTTAATGGTTCTTAATGGTTCTTAATGGTTCTTAATGGTTCTTAATGGTTCTTAATGGTTCTTAATGGTTCTTAATGGTTCTTAATGGTGCTTAATGGTGCTTAATGGTTCTTAATGGTTCTTAATGGTTCTTAATGGTTCTTAATGGTGCTTAATGGTTCTTAATGGTTCTTAATGGTTCTTAATGGTGCTTAATGGTTCTTAATGGTTCTTAATGGTTCTTAATGGTTCTTAATGGTGCTTAATGGTTCTTAATGGTGCTTAATGGTTCTTAATGGTTCTTAATGGTGCTTAATGGTTCTTAATGGTTCTTAATGGTTCTTAATGGTTCTTAATGGTTCTTAATGGATCTTAATGGTGCTTAATGGTGCTTAATGGTTCTTAAGGGTTCTTAATGGTTCTTAATGGTTCTTAATGGTTCTTAAGGGTGCTTAATGGTGCTTAATGGTTCTTAATGGTTCTTAATGGTTCTTAATGGTGCTTAATGGTTCCCAATGGTTCTTAATGGTTCTTAATGGTGCTTAATGGTTCTTAATGGTTCTTAATGGTTCTTAATGGTTCTTAATGGTGCTTAATGGTTCTTAATGGTTCTTAATGGTGCTTAATGGTTCTTAATGGTGCTTAATGGTTCTTAATGGTGCTTAATGGTGCTTAATGGTGCTTAATGGTTCTTAATGGTTCTTAATGGTGCTTAATGGTTCTTAATGGTTCTTAATGGTTCTTAATGGTGCTTAATGGTTCTTAATGGTTCTTAATGGTTCTTAATGGTTCTTAATGGTTCTTAATGGTTCTTAATGGTTCTTAATGGTTCTTAATGGTGCTTAATGGTTCTTAATGGTTCTTAATGGTTCTTAATGGTTCTTAATGGTTCTTAATGGTTCTTAATGGTTCTTAATGGTGCTTAATGGTTCTTAATGGTTCTTGATGGTTCTTAATGGTGCTTAATGGTGCTTAATGGTTCTTAATGGTTCTTAATGGTTCTTAATGGTTCTTAATGGTGCTTAATGGTGCTTAATGGTTCTTAATGGTTCTTAATGGTTCTTAATGGTTCTTAATGGTTCTTAATGGTGCTTAATGGTGCTTAATGGTTCTTAATGGTTCTTAATGGTTCTTAATGGTTCTTAATGGTTCTTAATGGTTCTTAATGGTTCTTAATGGTTCTTAATGGTTCTTAATGGTTCTTAATGGTTCTTAATGGTTCTTAATGGTGCTTAATGGTTCTTAATGGTTCTTGATGGTTCTTAATGGTTCTTAATGGTCATGGTTCTTAATGGTGCTTGATGGTTCTTAATGGTGCTTAATGGTTCTTATGGTTCGGTGCTTAATGGTTCTTAATGGTTCAATTAATGGTTCTTAATGGTTCTTAATGGTTCTTAATGGTGCTTAATGGTGCTTAATGGTTCTTAATGGTTCTTAATGGTGCTTAATGGTTCTTAATGGTTCTTAATGGTTCTTAATGGTTCTTAATGGTTCTTAATGGTTCTTAATGGTGCTTAATGGTGCTTAATGGTTCTTAATGGTTCTTAATGGTTCTTAATGGTTCTTAATGGTGCTTAATGGTTCTTAATGGTGCTTAATGGTTCTTAATGGTTCTTAATGGTGCTTAATGGTTCTTAATGGTTCTGAATGGTTCTTAATGGTGCTTAATGGTTCTTAATGGTGCTTAATGGTTCTTAATGGTTCGTAATGGTTCTTAATGGTTCTTAATGGTGCTTAATGGTTCTTAATGGTTCTTAATGGTCTTAATGGTGCTTAATGGTGCTTAATGGTGCTTAATGGTTCTTAATGGTGCTTAATGGTTCTTAATGGTTCTTAATGGTTCTTAATGGTTCTTAATGGTGCTTAATGGTTCTTAATGGTTCTTAATGGTTCTTAATGGTTCTTAATGGTTCTTAATGGTTCTTAATGGTTCTTAATGGTTCTTAATGGTTCTTAATGGTTCTTAATGGTTCTTAATGGTTCTTAATGGTGCTTAATGGTTCTTAATGGTTCTTAATGGTTCTTAATGGTGCTTAATGGTGCTTAATGGTGCTTAATGGTTCTTAATGGTTCTTAATGGTTCTTAATGGTGCTTAATGGTGCTTAATGGTTCTTAATGGTTCTTAATGGTGCTTAATGGTTCTTAATGGTTCTTAATGGTTCTTAATGGTTCTTGATGGTGCTTGATGGTTCTTAGTGGTTCTTAACGGTTCTTAACGGTTCTTAATGGTTCTTAATGGTTCTTAATGGTTCTTAATGGTTCTTAATGGTGCTTAATGGTTCTTAATGGTTCTTAATGGTTCTTAATGGTGCTTAATGGTTCTTAATGGTTCTTAATGGTTCTTAATGGTTCTTAATGGTTCTTAATGGTTCTTAATGGTTCTTAATGGTTCTTAATGGTTCTTAATGGTTCTTAATGGTTCTTAATGGTTCTTAATGGTTCTTAATGGTGCTTAATGGTGCTTATGGTGCTTAATGGTGCTTAATGGTTCTAATGATGCTTAGTGGTGCTTAATGGTGCTAAATGATGCTTAATGGTTCATAATGGTTCTTAATGGTTCCTTAAATGGGCTTAATGTTCTTAATGGTTCTTAATGTTTCTAATGGTTCTTAATGTTCTTAATGGTGCTTAATGGTTTTTCTTAATGGGCCTTAATGATGCTTAGTGGTGCTTAATGGTTCTTAATGATGCTTAATGGTTCTTAATGATGCTT